CACGTGGGGTCACGTGGGCGTACCGGACTTGGCGTTGATGGTCATGATGCGGTCAAAGTCGTCCTCGGTCACGTCAAAGATGCTCTTGGACTCGCCGCGGTGGCAGCAGTTGAGCAGGGCGGCGTCGAGCTTCTCGAAGCGCTGGACGACCTTCTTGGCGCAGGCCTCGACGTCGGGCTCCTTGGTGGCGTCGGCGACGATGGTCAGCAGGCGCGACTCGATGGGGATGCCCGTGGGGATGGCGGCCTTGAGCACGGGCACGGCCACCTCGAGGGCCGTCTGGTCGATGTCGATGAGGGCGACGTTGCAGCCCTCGATGAGCAGGCGGCCGGCCGACTCGACGCCCACCTTGCCGCCGCCGCCCGTGATCATGACGACCTTGCCCTCGAGGCGCTGGATGGGCAGCGGGCGCGTCAGGTTGGTCGACGTGGGCGCGCGCTCCATGCCCGGCCGCGGGGGCTTGTTGAGGTTGAGCGTCGAGATGGCGGCGCCGGGCGTGCGCAGGCTCTCGGTCGTGTTGGCGCGCTGCATCGTGTGTGTCGGCGTCGTCGGCGTCGTCGTCGTCGGCGTGCTGGGGAGCGTCCGCGATGCTATTTCTACGTGCGGTGCTCCCTCTCACCGGACCCGTCGTCTCCCTCAAGATGACGTAGCGCCGGGGTTCCCTAGGCGAAATCTTTTCTGCAGCCCGCGCTGATCAAACCCGTCCGTTGAGCCTCCTGCTGGCGGCCGGACCCACCGCCCCGCCCTGGCAGCCAATGCCGCCCGCCGCCGCCATCACTTATCGCACCCCATGCGCACCGCGGTGGGTGCGGTGGGCAAGACACCTGTCGCGCAATCTGCGCCGTTCCACCACTCAGTGACGCCCGCCGCCGCCTCCCCCAGGTGTTCGAACAAGGCGGTCAAGCACTGCGCTATACTGCCAAAGCGGCAGGTAGTCCGGATCCATTCGTCAAGCTACTGCCCCGTTGCGCCCGGCTAACGCGGAACTTAGGTACATGGACACGTTGACATCCCCTTGCTCTCCCACAACCTCGCTCTCTCTCACCAGTCCAGGAAGTAGTCGATGCCGTCCGCCAGAGCTGCCGCGCCTACTGCCGCGTGGTCACTGAACGGGTACTCGTGGATGCTGACATCCCTCAACGCCGGGCTGCCCTCCAGCCTGCTGTACAGCTTCTGGCTCAGATCCGTCATGCGCTGCGGCACGAGGATGCTCTGCCTGAACGCAAACTCCGCGTCCGTCTCCGTCCGTCGCTTCACCAGCTTCTGTTCGAGCGCGCCGTAGCTTATCTGGAAAGCAGGCTTGGTCGCCTTGGCCGTGTCGCTGGCCGAAGGCGACTCCAGCGGTGCGAGGAAGTCCGTGTTGTTGAAGACATAGTCGTCGTCGAAGAAGAGGGCCGGAGAAGCGCTGAGGAACGTATCGAAGAGATCAGGCCGTACCGTGAGCGCATACAGGACGAAGAGGCCGCCAAAGGAGTGGCCGTAGAGTGCGTCGCGGTCAAACTCAGCTTTCGGGAAAGCCGTCTCCTGAACCCATGGCCGGAGAGCATTGTCGATGAACTCGATGAACTCATCCGCATTGGACTGCACGCCAGGCACCGCAGGTAAGGGGCAGCCATCGCAGACTGGAGGCTGGAAGTCGTAGCTCCGCTGCGTGCTGTAGGGTGAATCTTCGATGGTCTCCGGGTAGCCTATGCTGACGACAATGCAGTCGGGCATGTTGAACTCGACGGGACGGCGGCGGCGGAAGGCTTCTGTGGCAGTCATACCCAGAGCATTGCCGTCGAGGACATACCTAGTAGCCGTGTCAGTCCGAATCCCCGTGGTGCCGCTGGCGCTGCCTGTGTCCTTACATTGTCTCCACAGTCGACGTCTCCTCCTGTGAGGTCCAGTTCAGCGGCCATGCCAGCTGAATCTGGTATTCCCAAGATCCGTTCTTCGCACTCCAGAACCCTAGGTTGGGCAACACATTGGTAGGAAACTCGGTCATCAGTGGCGTGAACTGCCAGGCACCCAGTGAGCTCATCCTCGCGGTTGTGAAGACGGTCCGTTTCGCGTACTGTTCAAATGCAGGGCAGACTACCTTCCAGCCGGAAAGTCGTTGGTTTTAGTACCTGACAACTACCAGAGTAGTCGTCCTAGAAGTATAGACCCAAGGCGCGGGGTGCCAGCCCGTGTTCTATGCACACATCACGCCGCAATCGCAAGGGTCCCGCACTAACTTTGCTGTGGTGGGTTAGCATGGACGCGGCATGGCATTCTAGTCTCGGTACCTGTACTCTGACATCCCAGCGCCTTATTGGGACATGTATATATTGCCAAGACGGGGGATCATCCTTGTTGTCTCCCGTCTCTGCAGTCTGTTCGCCTTTCATGATGATATCAACGTGACTGGACATCTTGTGACACGGGTCGTCGTATAGGATCTCGATCTGCTCAGGCGTCCGCTGCTACAGTCTCAAATTAGTGCGATGGAATTGCGAGTCAAGCAGCTATCCAAGTGGAGGAGGCGGGTCAGAAGAGTTCGTCTGCGTTCTGGCTCTTGAAGAACGGCGGTTGCATGCGCGCAGCCGACGAGCCTCAATCCTACTCGACGGAACCATCGAACGGCAAACCTGGCTACATCGCGTCAATGCAGAAGTCGTGATCAGGTCGCGATACGCGATGAATTCATTCGGGGGGATGTCTCCGGTGCAGCTAGGTGCGCTACATCCACGTGCTCCTACCATCGCAGATGCAGCCGCTGTCACAATCACCTCGGCAGTCCAATCGAATGACCGGGATATCGATCTGATATAACCGTTGCGGTGGGTTGTCCTTCGTCGGCGTTCTTACAAACAGTCGGTTGGCGCAGTCCTGGCTCACGACAAAGTTCGTTGGTTGGCGTCAGCGCATCGGGCCGTAACCATAAACGTTAACGCCATCCGAACGAGGCAGGTCCTGGGGACCCAAGTGCCGGGAACACAACCCCTTCTGACACAGACTCAACGCCGGGTTCAACGGCGAGTCATCCAAGATTTGGATTTGTGATCTTATGCGACCAATTACGAGAGGACGCAGCGATGCGAATCGCATGAACGCAGACGACGATAGTTAGAACAAAGCGATGACAAACGTCACAAAGGTGTTGCTGAATAACATGCTAGAAGGGTGTCTACTTGATACAAATGCAACCATCTTTCTTTAAAAAGCACCTCGTCCAGGCAGCGGATCGTTTTTCGCGGGGCAAGATGCGTCATAGATTGTCGGATTGACAAACTTGGGCATAGGGTCGTTGTTATAAGCCAGCTCGACGAGTGTAGCATTGCCTTTGCACGTGTTAGCGTAGAAACAGGCGTTCGGGTGTTCCCAGTGCTTACCCGAGTTATACATCGGCCATCCGTACTTGGTCAACCCCTCCTGCGAATCACGGGCAAACGCAGCCCAGGCGCCCTGGACATGCTTCATATACTGGTTCTCAGCAGGAGAATTGGGCAGGCCAGAGATGTCTTGAGCGGTACCGAAGACCAGGCCTAGGTCAGAGCCGTGGTAGGCCGCGCTTCCTCGAGGCCCGAGGCCTGCGCTGCCGTTGTAGAGGCGAAGGTTCTCCCAATCTCCGTGGTATATGTATCGCCAGGTCGGTACGTCGTACTGCGCCCTGTATGCAGCGGACAAGGAGGATGGGCATGTGAAGCCACGCTGGGTGAACAGATCCCATTGCGCGTTGGTAAAGTTCAACTTGGCCGCCCACCCTGAAATGCGATACCAGCCGTCTTCGTGGTCAGCATTGCCGACCAAAAGCGGAATCTTGGCGAAGGAACCGTCCGCTGAGAGTTGCTGATAATCCGCAAAAACCGTCATGTTGTCGACGGTCGGATGGAAGGTCGCTTGAGTCAGACCGACGCTGGGAAGACCAGGAACCTTTGCCGAGGCAGCCAGAAGAGCAGACATGTTTGCAGAACGTACGCAAGATACGACAGCGGCAGAGTCATTGGCAGCACCCCCACAACCGATGGTCTGGGATACATTGTACCAGATAGACTGCGAGTACTCGACTGTGTTGGGAACGAAGCTCAGTGAGGTTCCAGACATGGGGATGAGACCCGACACAATCGGGTCGTTCTTCCAGGCGTATGCCCAGTAGTCGACAGCGGCGCCACCTGCACTTTGTCCAAAGATGACGATGCGCGAAGGGTCGCCTCCAAAGCCAGCGATATTATCGCGCACCCATTCGACAGCGCTACGGTGGTCGCGCAGGGCCGCGTTCTTCTCAACACCAGGAGCACCAGCGAAGCCGAAGATGCCCAATCGGTAACTGACCCAGTCAGTAGGTGTAGGGTCGACCACAGCGGGTGTCTTACTTGAATGTCACAACGACGACATCCTCAGCGTCGGCCAGATACTGCCCGTTGTAGAAGGGAGAGTGAGGGCCGGGGATCTGGAAACCTAGCGTGGCTGTTAGAAGTCATCCATGACAGCCGAAGGGACCACGTACGTCCTCCGTGAAGAAACACCAGCACTGGTTTCTTTGCATCGGCATCACCAGCACTCGCCGTCCAGACATTGAGCTTCAAGCAGTCCTCGGACACCGAATTGTTGTTCTGAGCTGCGAAGTTCTTCCACACACGCAAGCCGGATGGCTGTGTGAAGTTGGGGAAAGCTGATACTGGCGGCTTAACAGCAGGGCAGTCACTGTAAAGTCATTAGACGTATCCTACATGTTCGAACTCTCAACATACGGAGACTACAGTCTGTCAGTGATTGAGCACTACCCAGTGATGTCGTGATTACTGACCCACTCGGATGCCTCGAAAACGGTTCCTTTGGGCGCGTCGAACTTCTTCGGCGCAGCAAATCTCAGTTCGCCGACTGGCGCTTCAGCATATCGAATGCCCAAGAATTCAGTCACATGTGTCTTGTTAGACGATGGGTGACCGATCAAGGTACCGCTCGACGTCTCGATGTTGGAGCCATTCTTCGGCGCTGCGACGGCCGAACCGAATAGCGAAGCTACAGCTGCAGCGGTAAGGAGGAGGTGTTGCATAATTTCAATTCGAAACAGCAACTACCATGCGCTCGACGGAATAACTTCAAACAGCTGGAGGGCGGCCAGCTGACTTTATTGGAGCGAGATGTAAATCACGGCTCGGTGGCAAGCTGTTAGCTCCACGTTCCTGCGTGGCCAGCCGTCGACGATGGGACAACAGGGCTGCAACCAGACAAAGCTCCGACCAGACAAAGTCCCGAGGCAGATGGCAGTGTTGCGAAGGACTCATGCCGAGTGCGCGCGGTCTTACGCCGGCGTCAAAAGCTTCGACGTTGTCAGACAGGACGGGTACGCACGAGGCTTCATCTCGGCTGCAGCCCTAGCAAGGACAACACTAGTCCCAATGCGCGACCCGTCTCCCAGTCGCCCGGAACCTTTCGATCTGGCGGACCTCTCCATCGTCGTGACATACGAACCCGAACACTTGGGACTTTGATGCTGTTCATTCCGCTCAAGCCTTCGCTTTTTCGATACAACTCAAGACCCAAACCTGACGGGCGTAGGCGAT